GATTATCACTTGTAAGCAGGGGGCCATTTTCGCGTCTATTTCAGGATCTGGGGTTGAGGAAGACTTAACTCGGGCGTAGGGAGTACTTGGCATGCCCCTCCCCCACAATGTCCTCGCCCACCATCCAGCTCCTCGTTCCCTTTAATGGTTGCCGGTTGTCTCCTTTCACGGAAGTGGGAAGCAAATCTGTTTGTCTTGCTCCCGAAAAAGATTCCACAGCACAGAACGCTGGTGTTTAGAATCGTCATGCGTCCTTCTGGCGCACACTAAACTGCTGCAACCTTGCGGGAATGGTGCTCCCTCTGGGATAAAGCAGCCATAAGAAAAGAACCATTTCATGTCTCCTACGCCCGCGCGGCCAGCAAACCCTGGCAACCACAGCAGTTCTCTTTGCTAAAAGCTCGGGCCTTGCAGCAGCTTGTAATTAGTGTTGTTTAGCATTTCATTTGCCTTTAGTTGGGTAACAAGCACTTACTGATGACTTTTAGGAGTGGAGCACTGCGCTAAGCACAGCGTGGGGACAGGGACAGACTCTGCTCAGTGACCCCTTGGGAATGGAAAGCCTCCTTCACAAGCACGAGGAACGCGTGGAAGCCGCAGCCCGCTGCGGAGATTCTCATCCCTTCACAATGAGGTTCTGGTTCTGGTGCAGACCACTGCAGGGACATGCTGCCAGACGGCGTCACGATGGAAGTGGGGACATACCCGTCACCAGTTCTCTGGGCTGAGGCCACCCTTTCCCCCTTCTAGAGTCCCAGAGCGGTGGGGACAGAGGACAGTGGTAGCCACCAGCCATTGGAAGTCAGCCTGTCCACCATATTTGGCAACGCTCCTGAGGTCTTAGCTTAAAATGGAAGCCTTGGTGAGAAGAAAACTGGGGGGTGGGGGGTGCAGATCTACTCAGAGTGGGGGTTGTGTCTAAGGTCCGTGTGGGGCAGGGGTGGACGTGGACAGGCGTCACTTAGAAATGGAGGGGTGGGGACACCTCCGGTGAGAGCACACTCTTAGCATTGGGAAGTCCTGGGTTCAATCCCCAGCTTGAAGCGTACACAGCAGGAGGTGTGCAAGGGTGCACAGACCTTCCAGGTTGGGGAGCAGGGTGTTGGAGGCGAAGGACAGGGTTGTGAAGTGGGCGGTGCGGGCCCTCGTGGTGAGCAGAAAACTGCCTGCTCTGGGGTCGGGGATACAGGCAGCAGAACATGGCCACGGGACCAGGCCTGCCGGATCCGGAGGGCGGTGGGGTGTGCCAGTGGTCTCCAAGGTTGTTCTGTGCTACCCCTTAACCCCAAAGAAAGTGAAAGAGACATGGCCCTGGGGTGCCCGAGCTTTCTGAGCAGACACTATGTCCCAGGTAAGACCGGCAGGTGCAGTATCAACCCGAAGTGGACCTTGCAGCGCTGGGACCCTGTGCTCTGCTCAGGGCCTGAATCAGTGGAAGCTGGGCTCAGCCAGGGACCGGCGTCCAGGATGGGTGCCGCATACATGGGCACGGAGGGTGAGCCAGTGGGTCGGAGCAGAGATGGGCTCCGGGCTGCAAACTGTGTCTGACACGATTTCTCCTGCCCGCTGGAAACACAGTGTACCAGACTGTAGCACAGAACCGGGACGCAGGAACACCAGGGAGGGATGATTTCAGTCTCCCACTGAAGCCTTCCTTCTGAGGCTGCACGGACTGGAGACAAACCCTGCGGCTCTGAAGGCGCCTCCCTTCTGCAGGGACGGCCCTGCTCAGGTCCTACCACACTTCCGGCCCCAGCTGGTGCGGGTGCACACATACATAAAGACAACAACCTCAGAAAAAGAAGACACATTTCCGGGCCAGCTTTTATTTTTGTGCATCCTCAGGATTTTCAACCTTGCTGTGCACAGCTGCATGGACTCCTCTCCTCCGGGGCCAGAGGCAGACTTCAGGGCTGCAGCTGACTCCGGCCCCAAGGCTGTGACTCACACCGTCTGCCACACAGGCCTGGCGAGGCTTCCGTGGCCGGCCTTCCTGCTGGCCCTGTCCCTCCCCGGCCACACGGTCACCATCTCCCTCCCCACCAGCTGCTCTCGGGAGCGGGGTCCAGGGACAGTCTGACCACAGTCACAGAAGGCTCCAGCACACAGGATTTTATTTTATTTTATTTTATTTTTTAAAGTTCTTTTTTAGTTTTTTAAATTATTATTATTTTAAAGAGTAAATGAAGGATAACATAGTAATAGGGGGCTTACTGAATTACAGACAGTGGTAGGAAATCATCAATGGTTGTCGTTCTACACACACGGGATTTTAGAACACCAGGCGTGAGACTATTTCCCCCTGGATAAAGAGCGCCCCCTCATGGCCCCAGATACGGTGGCAGAGCCAAGACTTGGAGCGGGAGGCGCACGGAGAGGAAGCGCTTCTTCTCGGTGGTGCACCCACCTCCCCCGTGGGTGCCCGTCCCCCTGGCTCAGTCTCCTGTGCTGTCCCCCGCCTTCCTGGTCTCCCTGGTGGCCGCGGAGGTGGAGTTTCCATGGGGCAGCGCAGTGTGCCACTGGACACACGAGGACACCTCCTTGGTCACAAAGGACCGCACAGCTGAGACTCGGGAACCCGCCCCGTGAAGCCTTCCCTTGGCAAACCCCAGGGCCACAGGGACAGGGCTGGTGAGAGTACCGGGGGTGGGGGGAGCCAGGGCCTCTGCTCCCCACCAGCCTCCTCCTACAGAGATGTGGGTGCCAGTGAGAGCACACCCCAGGGACGGGCCATCCGCACGCTGGCAGGGACCAGAACCCGACCCTGGGTGGTGAAGGAGCAGAGGCTGGGGCGTGCCCAGCCCGGCCTGGGAAAAGGCCCACAGCACAGTGCCTGCTTCGGGTGCTGCCATCCACAGGGGGAGACAGCTGCGGAACGGTGGGGGCTGCGAAGAGGGCAAGGCAGGCATGGTGGGGAACACGAACCCCACCCCAAGCGCTTCCTCTCCCCGCACCTCTCCCTGCATGGCTGGGTGGCACGCAGGGCTGAGGGCAGCCGGGGGGGTCGGGGGGGGCAGTGGGCTGGGTATGCAGGGGCCAGGGAGGCCACAGGGGCCAGGGAGGCCACAGCGGCAGGGCCCGCCCAAGGCGTCACACAATGAAGCGGGAAGGATGGTACAGAGCGGGGAGGCACGGCTGAGTGCAGAGCGGGACTGGTGCTCTGGAGTCCACACCGGAGGCCTCCTCCACCCACCGGAAACAGCGCTGGGCAGTGGAGCACCCACTCACACACACATCCAGACAGGGCTGCCCGCAGGGCGCCTGTCCCTGACCAACGTCCTTCAGCAGGGCGCGGGTCCCCCCCCCCACATCTCTCAACCACGGAAAGAGCCGGCAACACTACTGTGGCCACGAGGGGGCGAGGGGTTTGTAGATTCCCGGGCTCCCGAAAGCCTCTCGCTGGCTGCGCAGGGCATACATCACCGCCATCGTGTGCACCATGGCGCTGGGCCGGAGGCGCTGAGCGACTTAGATGCTGCCAGCCCTGCCACGTGCCGACCCCCCAAAGGCCGGGCTCCAAATGGCCAAGTGCCAGGGCAGAGCAGAGACCTGAAACTCCCTGTGGGTCGCCCCGGCACTGCCCAGAATCTCACTGGTCTGTCTGATCCAAGTCAAGTCACCGCTGACCTCCACCTCTGGGGACTCCGGCATTCGGGAACTGTGGTGGAGTGTTTTGAAATCTAACAAGGAGACCGCTGTTCCCTGCCTCTAGGCTTCTCCCACTCAGGCAGGGCTCGGACCTCCCTCCCCCAGACACTCCAGCCTCCACATCTGCTCTCACCTGCACCGATGCACAGCCCCGCAGGCCGTGTCCTTGTAGCTCCCACGAGCAGGAAGGTGGTAATACAGCAGCACAGAACGCTCAGAAGCACAGGCTGCCAGATGGAGCCTTGCCGGTCCTGATGCAGCCCCACCCCCACACAACCCACCTCTGCCCCTGCAGTCAATCACACGGCAGCCAGGAAGCTGTGAAAAGCCAATCAGGGAGGACCCTCTGGATGGATCCCTCTGAGGCTCCCTCTTAGCACAGAATTTAAACCTCATGACCTGGGAAGCCCTTGTGAACTGGCTGAGTCCTGCCACATGAGGCCTGCAGCCTGCCAGCACGGTCCTATTACCCAGCTGTCCTGAGGCTCCAAGCCAATTCCTACTGGCTGCTCCAGCATCATCTCCAGGCCCCCCAGGCCTCCCCAAGCCTGCTGGCCAGCCCTGACAGCACCCCGGAACTGGAGCCTGTCCGGGTCTCCTTGGCGACCTGTCTCCCCACTGGGACCCGAGCTCCAGTGGGCTGGGGCTTACTCACTGCCACCCCCTCCGTGCCCAACGAAGGCCTGGTACACAGGGAGTGTCACGTCCATGGGAAGATGGCCCCGTGAAGAGAGGTGTTTAAGGGAGCCTCCGGGCCACTGCACCACTGGCCCCTGAACCGCCCCCAGCTTTACACGGTTTGTAAGTGGCCCAGGAGGGGTCTTCCAGGGCACGCAGGGCACTCGACAAAGCAACCAGGGTGTGTGTTCATTCCAGATCCCCAGCAAGCACAGGCGAGGCCATGACCCGAGAACCAAAAGGAGTTCCCAAGACAGGAGATTCCCCAGGTGCCTCAGTGACAGTGTCTGAACTTCTCTCCCACTAGGAATCAGGATGCAGCTTTGGGATCCCTGGAGGGGAGTTGGCCAGCAAGGGTCCATGGTCCTGAGGGCATCGCCAGACAGGCAGACACTGGAGAGGCGGAGGCACCAACCCCACCGGCCCAACAAAACCTCTCGATCTCTTTCCCAATTCTCCTTCTGCTTCCGGGCATAGGCGGGGTCAAAGGTGGAAGGGGAAATGCACGGGGTGGGGGTGTGCAGCCACTGGGAAGTTTGAATGTGAGTGAACTAATTCTACCTCATCAAAACCTAACACGGGCCTGCTCCCCTCTGCAGCCACCCCCTGGAGACGGCACCAACGAGGTCACTCCTGTTCTCCCCACCTCCAACCGCAGCACACACTCGACAAAAGGCAGGGAAGGTGTCTTTATTAAAGATGCAAGCAAGCACAGAAATATCATGTGTAGTGCCCAGTAATATCCATACGGTACTAAAAATAGAAAAATAGAAATGAAATTTCACAGAAAGCAGCCTCCCTCCCAGACACACAGAAAAGGTGCTGCCACCCGCGCCCGCCACCCACGTGCCCTGGCCCCGGCCCAGCTTCTCCCAGACAGACGGAAACTCAGGCTCCCATCTGCGCCTGCTTCAGAGACCACTTGCCCCAACAGCACAGCCCTGCCCCACGGGGGACAGAGCCGAACTCCGGCACCTCCCACCTGGCCGGTTCCCCATTCCTCCTCCAGCCAAACGGGCCAGCAAGGAAGCAAGTGGTGGGCAGTACAGACATGGCCACTGCCCCAGACGTACTAAGGGGTGGGTGGACAGAGGGCGCTTAACTTGCAAAAGGGTTCTCAGCGGAAAGCCTCAGGCACATGGGGAACAAGCTAAAAACTAGAGACCCAGGACTTCTAGAAAAGTGCTGTGCTACAACGCCTCTGCTCGCCGGTGCATGTCACTACTCCAGGGGACAAAAGGAAAGCCTGCAGGATCTGACTCCAGTGCTGGGTGTCCGTGTGCAGGCAGGGGGGAGCGCCTGAGCACCCCCGTCCCGAAGTCTTCGAAGATGCCTGCAAAGTCACAAGGGTTGAACTCCAGCAGAACACACCAACTCCAGCTCCCCTGCACCCCACCTCATCCTGTTTTCACAGGTACCTCAGAACCAAGGGACAGCACCATGCAGGGCTTGGGCAACTGCTACTGAAAAGAGGCCTTCGGAGAGCTTCTGCCACTGGGTGGTGACTCACTCTTGCTTCCCCTCGGAAAAGAACTTTTACTCGTTTTACTGTATTTATTTAGATTTCCAGTGAAAAGCTCTGGAAAATACAGTAAGTAGATGGGGCAGCCCGAGGCAGAGGCGGGAGCTGCCTATGGCTCGGACTTCGTACTTAGGATGCCGGCCGCGGACTGTAATTTGTATAAGATTTGCATCAGACACAGCATCAAACACGTGAAGACTTCAAACACTAAAGGCGAGACGCAGCTGTGGCTGGAGACTGGCACACTTCGGGGTCTCCGTGGGTTCCTTCCCCGCGGTTACACGCTGCTTCCAGGTGTGTCCAGCAAGGAATAAATGAATGCATACAGGACGTTTAGCTAGGAGCGTCTGGGGACCGCATGCAAGTTCGCCGCTTCCGTCATTATAAATAAAAGTCAAACGTGAGGTCGCACTTCCCCATCTTCTGTTTGTACACTAAGTCGAACTTCTCGTTCATGGAGACGGTGAAGATGTCCTTCCACAGCCCCACTCTCCCTGCAACACAAACCAGAGCGGGGTGTGCTGCAGCTGCCGGCACTTGGGCCAGCTACGGAACTAGGCTCCCCCAGTTCCGGCCCAGAAGGACCCTGAGATCCTGGCCTAGGGGCGGGGTGGGCCAGCGGCCCCGGCAGCACTGGCTCCACATGAGCAGACCCTGCCTCCTTCCACATCTGGCAGTGAAATGGCCGGGGCCACCTTTGCCTGGTCCCTACCGCTGGAGGCCGGCAGGAGGGGCTCCCTTCCGGCTCACGGTCAACGTCCCAGGACACGATGGGGCTTGGGCAGCGCTGCAGAATGGCAGCACGCTCCACAGGACACGTGTGCTTGGGCATCATGCGGGGCTGGGGTCCTGTGACACCAAGACTCACGCGTTGCTCAACAGCTACCAGGGTGCCACTCGCCTTGGGGAATTTGAAAAAGAAAAAAATCCACCCCAAGACAGAAAACTTCACGGCACATGGAAAGGAGTCAAAGGCGAAGACTTCAGCCTGTGTTCAAAAGCTTGGGGCAAATTTACCGTGAGCAGAGTACTGTGGCCTGAGCTCACTCTCCAGACCGGATGCAGAATGTGCCCTCCAACAACAACCCCCAGTTAGGGTCGGGCTCAGCAGGGCTAGTCAACAGGGCACAGGGGCAGGCGCCAAGCTATGGGGGCTTAGCAAGTCTTAGAGGGCAAACCAGAGAGGCAAAAATAGCACCAGGTACTGGGTGTGATGTTGCACACCTGTCATCCCAGGACTCTGGGATGCTGAGGCAGGAGGATCACAAATTTGACTCAGGCAATTTGGCAAGACCCTGTCTCAAAATAAAAATATAAAAAGGCTCTGGATTCAACCCCCAGTACCATAAACAAAACCAAAAACCACCACCAGAAGATGTGGACCTGTTTTCCTTGTTAACTACAAATTCCCAGTGGGTCAGGTCCAAGCCCAATGGTGGTTCCGGACTTCCCACTTCTGGACACCTCTGCTCTAAGCTTTTCCGTAGCAGCCTCCTTTGGGGTTCTTTCCACTGTCTGGGCTGTATGTGCAGCCCAGTGGTACGGCGCTTGCCTAGCATACACCAGGCCTGGCGCTGCACCCCTAGTCCAGCCAACAAGAAAGGATGTTTGCAAACTCTTCAAGCCCCTCAAGCTGAAGCCCCTCTCTATTGCCTCTGACTTCTTTTTTTTTTTCCGGTCTTTTTGAGACAGGGTCTCGTTGTGCAGTTCAGGCTGACCTTGAGCTCACTTTGTAGCCCCGGCTGGTCTCGAACTCGCAGTGACCCCCCTGCCTCAGCCTCCCAGGTGCTGGGATTACAGGCGTGCATCACCACGTCCGGCTTCCTCTGACTTTCTAATGGCCTAATAAATCTGCTAATGTATCCCCCCCAAAAAAAGGAAAAAAAAGGAATTCACTCCCCCACCAGCACCTCAGCTCCAAGCGGCACCTGTCTCTAGCACTGCCCCTCACCAGCTCGGCGCTGGTCCTCCCATCCTGGCAGCACCTATCAGGGATGGGGAAGGAAAGAGGAAACTTCTGCTACCCTCTAAGGATGCCACAGGGACAAGGCCAGAGCTTCCAGGAAAGTATTTTCGTGACCGGTTCCCAGCCGAGGCAGCTGAGCCGGGAAGGAGGCACCCACCTGGCGGAGGATTTGTACTCAGACAATTTAGGCTGTGACATGAACCAAGGGCAAGCAGTGCGGGCGGCTACCCGAGCCCCTGCCCCTCTCCGCTCAGGGAGCTCTTCTGAGCACAGAGGCAATGTGCTAAAAGGAAACAAAACCACAGAACTGAAATAAACAAAACCAAGGCAGACGATGGCAAAACACACAGTAGGAAGGAGCATGTGGCGGGCAGTGGGGCTGGGCACGTCCGCACCGCGCACACGGCCACAGGGGTATCCCGGAGGGGAAGAGGGAACGTGGCAGAGGCGAAAGTAAAAATGCAAACAGATCATAAATAATAATGAACGTTGGTGAAGACACCGACAGAAAATAAAGCACAAGGCACTCTGGTTTGGGTAACTTCTTCCTGTGGGAGGCCCTGCACGTGACCCTCGGCTGCGGACAGCGCAGGCTGCCCACAGCCACACCCCAGGGGCACGGGCTGCGTCGGGGCCCAGCTCCGCCTTCCCTGCCCGGGACTGCCACTCCAGCCTGCCCATGCTTCGGGCACATGCCGCAGAGGACAGGGTGGCAGTTCCGGCCCCTCTTCCAAGCTTCCCCCCGAGGTTTCCACTCACACTCCTGGGGACCAGCTCCAGGCCTACACCACAGTTAACGCGAGTCCGACTTTCCAGCAGGGGGGCTTACGTGTCCACAGCCAGCACCTGGGATTCATTCTCGGGACGTTAACGTCCAGCTCCCTGCCACTGAGCAACAGGAACTGTCACGTGCCCCAAGGAGAATGAGCAGGCGGAGAGGATGCCAGCCCAAAACACCTTCCCATCTCTAACTGTACATACCCACCAACGGCCACGTGCCACCCAGGGCACCCGCCTCCCGTCCTCGGCCCTGGCCAGGAGCTCTGCCCTGTCTACACCTGCTCATCCTCCCCAGGCGGCGCCCTTCCTTGTCTGTGGTCTGCGTCACCTGCACCCAGAAGACAGTCGGCCCACTTCTGGGAAAGGAAGGAAGCCAGCGTCTCTACCTGCAGACCTGCATTCTGTCTGCTGCTGCCTCTCCACCTTGGCCAGGAAGCTGACAGCTGGGAGACGAGCCGCCAGCCTTGCATGTTGAAACACATGGCCCCAAAGCCATCCCTGGAGGTGCTCTAGGGGCATCTGACTTCAGCCACTGCGGGCCCCTGCTAGAAACACCTCGCCTGCAAAGCCCGAGCCATCTCCAACAGCCGCCCCCTGAGCGGCAGCACTGACCTCACTGAACCCTATGAGTGCCAGCGGACACGGGCTGGCAGGTGACCACTGCGTGCCTGGCCAAGCAGAGGGCACAGGCTGGCCAAGTACTATGGTGAAAGGGACAGAATGGTCCAGAAGGCCTGAGGGTACGAACAGGAAAGGAGGCAGGAGCAGGGCCAGGCGGGCAGGGACACGTACCCCGGCCCACGGGCAGGGCCTCGGCATTGCAGCACTGGTCCACCAGCTGGTGGCAGTGCTCAGTCAGGGACTCCAGCTGGGCCTTGTCACAGGACACACCCAGGAACCTGGCCAGCTGCTCCACCATGGTCACCAGGTCCTGGAAGACAAGAGCAGCAAGCAAAGCTGCAGTCAGAGGCCGGGACTGTCCACCCTGCCCCCACCTGCTGCCCCTGCTGCCCTGCGGAGCCGTGAAGCCCGGAGTGGCCCAAGAGCCCTTGGCTCCCACGTACAGACCTGGGCTTCAAAACTGGGAAGCAGAGAGGAGCTCTTGAGAGTGCTGAGGTTAATTTTTAAACAGTAGCAAAAAATAGAAATCTCCTTCAGAAGCAAGATCTAGCTGGCTGGCTTCCTTCCCCTGCCCCGGGCAGCTGAAATCTAGAAGAGCTGGGGAGAGTAAAGAGCCCAACCTGCCTTGCCTGCCCAAAGGAAGCAAGAGCCCGCTGCCCTGCTCGCCCTGAGCGTGCACTCCGCAGCTCCCTCGCACTGCCGGCTCCCTGCAGCTCCCTGCAGCTGTTCCTCTCTGAAGGCTGAGAGAAAACTAGCAGATAAAGCCTGAGCAGGTCCGCGGTAAAGAATCTGTTTCATTCCCAAACCTTACAGGAAACCTGTTCCGGGAAGGCTGGCGGGAGGGCCCGCTCCGCCCTGGGTTCTCACGGGACCGATGAGGCAGTGCGGATCCTGGGCTCCTACTGCCGCCCTGAGCAGCCTCACCCGGGGCTGGTCCTGTGCAGGGCTTGGTGTGAGGGTCACCGCACACAGATGCTGGACCATGACCAAAGGAATGGAAAGAGCCTGCTTCCACTGCCCTGCCTCCCAGCACCGGCGCAGGGGACGGACAGCAAAGCTGGCCCTGCACAAGCACCCAAAGGAAAAGGTCACAGCCGACTACTGAGCACAAGATCCTCCCAGGACAGCTCACTGCCCAAGGATGCCTTCGGAGGTGGAGGCAGGAACGCCCTGGAAGCCGCATCCAGCTCCAGGCTGGGAACGGGACGGCCTGCCCACTCTGCCTCCTGGCTCCCCTTCCCTGGCAACTTGTGCTCAGGACAGCAGCACCCAGCTCGGCAGGGCGCGGCAAGAGGCCCCACATGGCACAAAGCCAGTAAACCAGGCAGGTCCCAGCACTGCTGGCCACTGGTCACCACTTTGTGGCTGTGAGAAGACCCAGCAGGGTGAAGTGGACAATGCCCTGGGGCACCTGGACAGGCCACTGAGACCGTGGGGTGGCAAGGCAGTCAAGACAGGAGGAAGGTGGGTGTGGGGAGCCTCTGGGCACACGGCCGAGTGCGCCAGCCCTAAGTGTCACCGTGACCAGCAAGGTGCGCAGTCTGGAGCGGCTGATGTGCACCGAGACAGCTGTTCTGGTGTGAGACAGAAACGTTAGGGCCGAAACTGTACTTCAGACCTTAGTGTCCATTACAGACTCCCCAGGAGACAGCTCGAGCTGGGCTTGCTGTGGTTTGGCCAAGGTTTGTCCCTGACGAGCTTGTGGATGTGGTGCGGCCCTGTAGGAGGTGGGCATCGTAGGAAGGGACGGGACCACTGAGGGCAGAGCAACAGGACTCGAGAAACACACAGGGGTGAAGAGGCATCGAGGACAACTCAGGACTTCCTCCCTGAGCAAACCTGAGGGTGGAGTCAGCTGCCATGCACTGCAGGCACAGGGGACCCAAGGGACAAGGCGTGCAGCCTGGCGGGGACAGGGCCTCCGTGCAGGACGGATGCAGCACCCCAGGCCTGGTGAGTGAACAAGACCCAGGGCACTGAGCCAGAGAAGACGGGAGGTGAGGCCGAGGCCTGAGCCCTGGGACTGGTCCAGGAGAGGAAGCAGGGGGACCTGGAACCGGGGAGAGAGCAGCATGGTGGCAGCCAGAGGTAGGAGGTGGCAGGCTGGTCACGGGCACCAGAAGGCTGGGAAGAAGGGCCCAGATACCACGCACGCCGCTGGCTGAGCAACGTGGAGGTCACTGGGGGCCATGGGGGGCAGGCCGGCAGTGGCGGGACGAGCTAGGGTGGAAGGGGAGAGGGCAGAGGGGTCTGCGGTGAAAAAGAGACAAAGAATGATGCAGAGAGGGAGGAGCGTGGGGCCCTGCACTAAGAAGGGAAGGCTGCGTGTTCCTCCCCGTCCAGCCCCGGTCCCACTGCGAAGTGCAGCCGCCCAGGACTCTGGAAGTCCCACACGCTGCCCGCTGTGCCAGCGCTGCCCAGGGCACTGTGCTAACCCTGCTCAGGACGACGGTGGCAGCGTGTGCGCGTCCCATTGTGCACAGCAAGCCCTGGGCCCTCGAGGCCCGCTTGGCAGCCCTGCCTACCCAGCCTCACGGCACAGCGAGGCCGCGTGTCCCACACGCCCAGCTGGACCCTTACAGCACCGGGCAGCACTACAGGCCAACTGTGGCAGGCAACCTACCCTCAGAGCCCGAGAACCGCGTGTGAGCAAAGGGCGGAGCGAGGGGCCAGAGGGCTGTCCCAGCCCGCTCCCGCGCTGCACTTCCCCTATGGTAGGAACACACACGCCCACCCTGCCCAGCCCTGGGACAGCCGCCACCCACCGGGGCCAGCTCCCTCCCCGACACTCACCCGGTGCATGTCCTCGTACTTGAGGAAGAGCACGTTGGCGTCTGTGCGGTGCTCCCAGAACTCCTGAACGTGCTCAAACCAGGAGCCATAGCCCACTGCGGAGACAAGGAGGGGTGAGACGGCAACAGAGGGGATGCCCGGGCACCAAGAATGCGCCCTCTGCCCGGGGGTCCCCCTCCTGCAGCGGGGAAGAGAAGGACGGGTGAGGTAGCCTGATGCCGATGAGGGCTCCCAGCTGGGGGGGACGAGCCCACCCCAAGTCCCTCACTGCCTGCGCCTGACCAGGGTGTGAGGCCTCCAAGGACACAGTGCCCACAGTGCTGGGAGGGGCTCGGCAGGAAGAGAATGACGGGGGTGCTGTGGGGTGGGTGCGGGAGGTTCCAGACAGCCTGAACCAGTTGGGTGATGGGGCAGCCAGTTAGGGCCACGAGAGGAGCGAGGCAGCCTGACTGCATATGGCACCGGCTGTGCGGAGACCAGAGCTTCGGTCCCCTCTAGCCTGGCAAGTGTGCAAAAGATGGTGCCAGAGCCCTCCTGTCCCACCTACCCGGTGGGAGGAGCCTGCCGCACCCCCACTGCTCTGCGAGCTCCCTGCTCTCCGGCCTTGGGGAAGGCAGTTCACTGCAGACCCTGCTGGGAAGCCAGCCTGGGGGCATGTCCCCCACACTGCACAGGTCATGGTGCCTGGTGTCCCTGGCCCTCGTCCCTGGAGTCTCAGGCTAGGACATCCCCCCGTGGTCTCTTGCTTCCACACCCTGCGCGGCCTCTGCCCCCGTGAGGAAGCGGTGCTGTCTCAGCGCTCTCTGGGTGTCAGCTCCTGGGCTCTCAGGACCTCAGGCGAGAGGCTGGGCCTCTGCAGTCCCAGGTCTGTGCGCAAGAGTGGCTGGACAGGAGTGGCACAGAATAGGTGTCTGGCGTGACCCGGCCAGTGTGTGTGGTGGCCCCCCGTCAGCGGGAGCAGGGTTCTGCGATGCGCTGGGTCCAGGTGGGAAGGGGATCTTGGCTGGGGAGCTCTCAGGAGCCAGTAGGGGCGGGGAGCAGGACACTGGCGCGCCAAGGACCGGCGCCCTGCTCTGTAAAGCAGGACATGTCGCACACTGTCACCAGGAGCCTCGGCTGCGCAGGTGGAGGCCCAGCACAGGGCCCCAGGAACAGCTCAGCCTGGGAAACACTTACGCTTGTCGTTCATGAACCTCCGGCAGAATTCCTGGAAAGTGCCTCGGTAGCTCATGGTCCGCAGGGAGCGGTGGAACTGATAGTAGGACACCACCAGGTCCTTGGGGTTGCGAGCCATGTAGATGACCTGTGGGCAGCGGGGTTAGTAGGCTCCTCCCGCCCTGGCAGGCTGCCTCCTCACTGGGCCAGGGGCCGCAGAGACAGCATCACCGCGTCATTCATGCAGCTGGTTGTACTCCTGTCGTCTAGAACTACTTTGAAGTAGACAACCGAGGGTCACGCTGTGATGCTGGTGATGAGGTCACAGGCCTTGGGAAGATACCACCCCTGAGGCAACGAGCCCATCGGGAGCATGGGAGATGGGGGCACCTGCCTTTGGGGGCACACCAGAGACCCCCGCTCATGTGAGGGTAACATCCTGGACCCATGACCCAAGACAGACCTTGGCACACAAGTTCGTGGGCGGGAGCAGGCCAGGCACGTGGCCAGAGGGCAGGGCACAGCTTACCTTGGAGTCGCCGTTGTGGAGGTCGGAGGGCAGGAAGCGGTAGGGGAGGTGGCTCTTGATGAGGCGGGGAGAGGTCAGTTCCTGCGGGAGTTGGCAGAGGGGGGCTCTGAGGAGGATGTGGCTGTCACCCCACCTCTTCCCAGGGCCTCTCCAGCAGGACCCGCACCCAGGCTGGATCCTGGAGGTAGAGACGAGGGCCCCCTCCTCAGCGCAGGAAGTCAACCTCTCCTGGCTGCAGGAATCTGCTCAAGACCAGAGAGCTGCTCAATGGGCCTACAGTGGCCAAACACAGCCACCGAGGAGGACCTGAGACCTGAGGACAACAGAGGAGGCGCAGTGCTGGCCCTGAGTGGAGGCTGTGAGACGGCCAGTCTCCAGCCCACGCCTGCGCCCTCCCCACGCCGCCCCAACCCCTCCCCACGCTCAGCAGGGGGATCCTGTGAAGGACCTCTGCTCCCAGGCCTCGGCCCCTCTACTCACAGCCCGTTCCCCTGTCACCATGGGAACAAGCCCAGCCCTCCCAGGCTGAGAGACTTCCCAACCTGTGTGGCTACGGTACTGTGGCTCCCTGCAGCCCAGAGGCCAGGCACTCAGCACAGCTGCACGGCACCCCCTGGGAGCGGCCCTGGGGCATGGTGGTGTGGGCAGCGAGGCACACCTGAGAGGAGGGTGCGGGGACCAGCACCCTGGGATGGGAGCCACAGAGGAACCTCCCGCTGTGACATGGGGCGGGAAGGGATGTTCCGAGCTGCACCGCACGCAGCCAGTCACAGTGAGCGCTGCAGGGGCGGGGAGGTGGGCAGGGAGTGGAGAAAAGTCCAGCTCCAGCAGGGGGACAATATGCAGGGCTGGGCAGAAAACGTTATCGTATTCCTGATACCAAATATTTGATCAAACACACCCACCCCCTCCCTCCGCAGATGGGAGGAAGATCACCCTCCTGAAACCCTCCCTAGCTTTCTGCTGCTCACAAATAAAGGCCCAGGTGCCTCACGTAAGGCTTCTGGGTCCCGCACCCACCCACTCAGATGGGTCAGCCACACCCTGATCAGAGGCCAGGGTCACAGCCCCAGGCTCGGCCCTGTCAGTGTCTCTCCTAGCTAGCCTGCACCCACAGAGTCCCTGGGCCCCTCCAGAAGGTGTAACACTGAGGTGTCCAGGGGCTTGCTAGGGGCTGGGCTGCTGCCCGCGGTACCTTTATAATGTCCAGGCCCGGCTGCGGGTACTCCAGCACTGGGAGTTGCTCATCAATGTTCATCAGGCCGATCTCATCGGGGTCGGCGCCCTGGCTCACCAGGTAGACCACCTCCTGCAGCAGGCTTGTGCCTGGGAGAGAGGCCGGGGCTCAGTGGGAGTGGCCCAGCCCTGAGGCGGGGAGCCGCAACGGCCAAGGGCTAGCCACAGCCCATGCCCCAAGCCACGCAAGGCCGCAGGGCCTCTACTCGAGGGGCCCAGCTGCTGGAGAGCTGCAGACCTGCTGCCCAGTGCCCTCTCTTACAAAGGGGCATCATGGCATGCACTGGTCCCTGCTGCATGTGGGGACTACCCCCTGGGAAGAACACACATTGCAGACTCTGGTTCCGTGGTCCCCAACCTAAAACCCTTCCCAGCTTTGCACTGTTGACAAATAAAGCCCCAGGTACCCCATGCAAAACCTCTGAGGCCCCCGCCCTGGCCTCTGCCTGCCCTCACACCACCCTCTGCGTCTCCACCGTCAGCCGCCTTCCCTGAGGCCCAGGCTCCAGGGTCACTTACCGCCCACACCAGTGTCTGCACACAGCCGTGTGCCTGGTCCTCCTGCTGAGCCCTGGGTCCAGGGCCCGCCCACCCCGCTGCACACAGCCAGCCCAGCAGAGTCTGAGCAGCTCAGCCTTTGCCAGGGCTAGGAAGAAGCGGGGCCCGCCCGGCCACTGGGTGACAACCACAGCCCACCAAGGCCACCCTGGGCACACTGTCTATTTGGGCCCCCTCGGGCCGGGAGGGAATTAGGACTGAGGCAGCTGCCAAGAACAAAGGCCACGCTGCATGCCCCCAGCCTGTCCCAGGCCCCAAAAAACGCTCAGCACCTCACACGTTCAGCTCCATCCGGGCAGATCCTGGTCCCCAGGTCCTCCCAGTCACCACCTCCTCCTGTGAACTCAGTGACAGCGCAGCTCAGCTCTGGTGCCTCCCTTGCAGCGCACAGCCTCTGTCCTTGGTTGCCCCTCCCTGCTAGCTAGGTGGCCTCACCCCCAAGGACACTGATGCTCCTGCAGGTGCGTACCTTCCTCCCTTCCTCACAGGTACAATGCAGCGAGCTGCTGACCCCACCATCAGGTGTGGCCAGACCCGCCCCCCCTGCCCCGGGTGACACTGCCCCTCACACCTGAGGCACTTTCCAGGAGGGACACATTGCCTGCTTCCCACACAGCGCAGCCCGTGGCCCGGACACAGAAGTCGGTTTACGATGCCGTCCACAGAAAGCCTTCCCTGACCCCACACCCCAGACCTGTCAGCTGTGTCCACGCTGTCCCTGCCTGCCTGCTGGCTAGTGGCACCTGCCAGTCCCCTGCCTGGAGCCTCCTTCCTCTCTCCCGACTTTCTGCGCCCGGTGAAATGTCCTGGCAGCAAGGGTTCCCTAACATCTCGCTGTCCCCACTGTGCCCACAGCCCAAAAGCATGGGCCCGCACTGCCCCATCACAAGGGCACAGGCTCCGATGCAGCAGGACAGCCGGGTCGTCACCTGCTCCCTGCACATCCTCCTGCCCTGAGCAGCACCAGGACACAGCAGTCCAGGCAAGAGCCAACATCCACCAGAGCTGCTGACCCGCAGAAGGAAGCGCTCTTTCCGTTCGCGCAGGGGGGTCCCGGTCCGGGCTGCGGGGCTTTCCTCACCCTGAGCTGGCACCACTACCCACTAGGGGCTCCTGAGACCCAGCTGGGTCCGCGGTCACGGAGCTGGGGCATGGCTGACACTGCTCCTCCTGATGCGTGGCACGGTGTAGGCAGAGTCCCCAACGCGGCCTCCCAGGGACGTCGTCATCTTCTGCCTCCAGTGGTCCCCACCCCCACAGGCACCACAGCCCCCACAGGCCAGCGGCCCAGACGCATTTGTCTGCACACTAACGTCTTTGTCAACATCACCCACTTCGATCCCACATTTCCGCCATTAAATATTTATGCCGGAAGACACCACCTTGCGGAGGAAGAGGCCTTTACCCTGAAGGCCCCAGGGTCCGCCCCAGTGCCCCCAAGGCCTCTGCTGCCTCAGCACCCTGCACCCCACCTTCTACAGCTGCAAGAGCAAGTCAACAGAGACCAGGCAGGGAGAGCAGGGTACAGAGGGGGCAGGGCTGAGAACAGGCACTGGCTTGCCTAGGGCATAAAGCCAGCTGGCAAGAACGGACCAAATGACCAAAAGTGACGAACTACAGACAAAAATGACAACCACCTGCTCACCGCCCCCTTCCAGGCACCCTTCTAGGCACCCTGAGCATCTTCAGAGCCACCAGCCTGGACTCTGCCAGAGCCTCCACCACATGCGTTCGGGGAGCTCTTCCATCTCCACCTCCCACGCCACTGCCTGTGCGTCGCCCAGCTAGTGGCCCTGGACACCGGACAAGCCTGCCCAGCCCTTCTACCTGCTCCTGCTGGCTGCCTGCGCCCAGGGCTCTCAGGGTCGCAGCAATGGAGCCCTTTGGGGGTCTACCTTCTCCTCCCAAGCCCCAGCCCCTGCAGGTCCCCTCCTGCCCCAGCCCCCTGCCCAGGGCCTTTAACACGCCTGGCCGGCCTGGACTGGACCTGGGGGTTCCTGCCCCCCAAGGAAGCCTTCCCTGGCACCCCAAGTCTAGACTGGAGCTCTTCGGCCCCTGGGGCCTAGAACTTCCGGCTCTACGTCACCCAGTGCCTGAGAGGGGGCTTGGGGAAGGTAGGGGCTGGTTGAGTGGAGGTCACAACAGGGGGCACAGGGCACGGGCATGGTGTCCCTTCCTGGCGACTGCCCGGAACTCTGGCCACTGTGTGGTCGCTCAACAAGCCTGTGATGCAGCCTCCATCCTCCCCCAGCATGCCAAGCCTCCCGGTAGTTCCAGGAGAGATGTGGCCCTGTCTCCCCCTTCTAGAAAATGGAGGCAAGTCCCCCCCTTCTCACAGGAGGTGACAGAGGAAGGGCCACAGAGTGACCTGCTCGGGCCACAGAGGCTCTGCGAATGCACAGCTCTGAGCACGCAGGCACGGGCACCACGAAGGCACGGGCACCACGAGCTGAGCCCCTGCAGGCAGACTGGTGCCCCGGGACAGGCTGACATGCTGGGCGGCCCCTACGGTGGCCCTCACAGGGAGGGCGGGCTAGAATGCGTCCTGGCACCAGTGAGATACCCAAGTGCAGGGGCCACAGCCCAGGGTCAGGGCAGGGAGGGGGCTGCACAGGAAAGGGCCTCGGACTCCAGAAGGGTCAGGTGGGGCGGCGGTAGGCAAGGGCCGAAGGGCTCGGAGACCCATCACGGCGCAGCAGGCCCGGGACAGAAGGGCAGGGACGCCCAAGCAGGTACACGTCGCAGAGGAGAGCGCCTGCCGTCAGCAAATCTGGCCCCTGAAAACCTGACCTGCTACGACAGGGCAGGCCCCGCCAGGCCCAGTGATTCGAGCTGGGGCTCCACAGGCTCCAGGTGCCGCGTGGGCCGGGCGCACGGCCCACACAGGGCTTCTGCGGCACTGAGGCCAGGCTCGCCGTCCTGACCTTCCCGACGGGCAGTGCTCTCTGACCCCGGCTCTGGGGCGGTCCCTCAGTTCAGGGGGACTTCCCTGGCAAATCCCAGCAGCAACCCGTCAACACCCATGGAGCCCGGCAACCTCCGCTCAGAATGGGGGAGACAGAAGGCACGGTTCCGGGGTCCGAGGCGGTCAGAACCGGGCCCAGAACGTGCGGTTCCTGTGATTCTCATTTCCGCTATTTACCAAAGTCACACTGCCGCCAGCCTAAGAAGTCTGAGTGCTGCCGGGCGCAGAACGAAGCCCGTGCTCCTCCTGCCCCATCCACTCCCTGGAGGCAAAGTCGCTCCTCTCACCCTCAGACTCCCGAAAGAGGAGCGGACGTCTGTGCTCATCATCTGTGCCGCCGAGCTGCTCCACAGACCCTCAGCCCAGGAGGTGAAGATGCAGCCGAGTCCTTGCCCACACACACGCAGGCACACGCGACACACACCCTCTCCCCTCTGCAGTCACGCCGTCAGCGCACAGCCTGAGTCTACGCTGGAGTGAACTGAGCGCTTTCTGGACCCGACGTGCATCACACTTCCTGCCTCTCTGTCCGGTGTACATAACCGCTGCTGCTCGCCTGCTTACTTGTCCGCGACGGATTCAACTCTGTGACAGGCGAACCTTCTGGGCGCGGCCAGAGACAGGGCTCTCCCCTTCCTGCGGGGGGCTTGCCCCAGCACCCTGGGACTTCTGAAGCTGTGCGTCTTTTCCTATCCACACCTGGGACAAGGGTTAATTTACAGGCACAGTAGGAGATTAACAACAAAAGCAAAGCATAGCTAAGCGTGGTGGCGCACACCTGTCATCCCACACTCGGGAGGCTGAGGCAGGAGGATCGTTGTGAGTTGAAGACCAGCCTGGGCTCCGAAGTGAGCCCAAGGCCAGCCTGAACTGCACAGCGAGACCCTGTCTCAAAAGGACAAAAAAAAGCAAAGCACAAGGATCACGACTTTCGCAGGCACGGTAACGCGCTGTGGGCTTGTGCCTCGCTCGCCGTCCTAACACCTCACTGTACCACAGCAACACTTCAAAGCGCAGCTTCATGGTCACTGAAACCAAAGGGAAGCAGCCCCCTACTTCTGGGGACCCCCCCACCCCCCCTCCCCTTCGGCGACCTGCCTGTCACCCCCCACTGACTCGCCTCACAGCTGTCTTCCTGGGTCAGCCCTCGCCTCACCTGGGCCCTTCCCACAGGCGCCCCAGTGACTGTGACAGGCATGACGGCAGGCGTCTCACTTCCGGCAGGACAGGCCGCGGGCAGGCACAGAGACCCAGGGCCCCGCCCTCCCCGCCGCCACCTCCTGCGGAGACACCGCAGGCCTTGGTCCCGGACTCTGCCAGGCTGCTGCCGGCCCAGCCCTCCACAGCTCTGCGCGCCTGAGCCTCAGCGTCTTCCTTTTCCCCTCCTTACCACTGGGACTGAACCCAGGGCCTTTGCACTGAGCTACATCTCCACTCATATCTTACATTTTTATTTTGAGACAAGGTTTCAACTGCCCAGGCTGGTCTGGAACTTGTGATCCTCCTGTCTCAGCCTCCCAGAGGGATGGGATCACAGATGCACCCCACTGTGCAGGGCTGAGGCTCA